GGAAAGGGGGGGGGGGGGGGGGGGGGGGGGATGGACGTCGTTCTTTTCATTCATTGACTGAGTGAAGAAGCAAAGATGGAGGAACACGCGTGGCGGGAATGACAAGTCGCGATTCGCGCAACAAACACGGGACGCGGAAGGAAATCGCGACAGGAGGACTTTATGGGATGGTGTCGCGGTGCTGTTCTGTGGCCGGCTGGGTCTCCGCTACACGTGTGAGCGCGCGTGCGTGCGTGTGTGTGTGTGTGTGTGTGTGTGTGTGTCCAGTGTACGGGAGTGTTGTTGTGCTACTGTTTGTTTGTGTCCAGCACAAGTTTGTTTGTGTGTGTCTCCGCCGTCTGCCAGTGGCGGAGGCAGACGTTTGTCATGCATGGGCTTTGGCCAAGGTGAAGCCACGGCGCAAATCGAGGTGGCCGGAAGGAAGTTCATACCCGAAATGGTCCCGAACGCCGACTGGTGGTGGTCTGCGCTCAAGAAACTTCCAGTTCTGCTTGTTGTCTACGTCGTCCGGGGACGTTACTCGGTTTCAAAAGAGCTCTCCGGCCTCTCGGCGGCCAAAAAGGCAAATGTCACTTCTCGATGCAGTCAGTCAGAAAGGAAAGCATGGAGTGAATGCCACAAAACAAACAAAACAGAAATCCAAGTTGATGGCAAACGACAAACAAGACCCGGACTTCTTTTGCCTTCTCCCTCACCTCACTGTCCCTCCTTTCAAGCACTTTTTTTTTGGGGGGCACTTGTCAAAGTCGGCGGCCATCTTTCTTTTCATGGAGCCTGGCAGGTAAAGAGAGCCTCAAAATACAAAAACCGCATGACTGAACTTGTGTTTGCTGTCTGCAGGGCAGAGATGAGCACTTGACCCAATTTTGCCAGTCCGTCCTCCGTCCGTCATCGTCCTCCGTCCCCGTCCGTCCTCGTCCTTTTAAAAGGCTTCATTTTAGACTTCCAAAGGGTTTTTTACGGCTCCCGTGGAGTTCAAATGCCTCTTGAGTTGCCGCCACAAATGTCACGCGTCCTTTCTCACTCGCCGTACAGTGATTCAACGTGACCGTCTCAACGTTTGCCACAACTGCGATCGACGGTCACCCAAATTTATCTTGCAGTCTTGACTTCATGCTCACGTGAAGCTCCGAACAGACGAGAGTGATCGGCCAAGTATTTGGGATTTTAGGGGCTCACCCCCCCTTCATAGAGGCGCTCCGCTCGCGACAAAGCTTCTGTCACTCGACGAGAAAAAAACGCGTCGTCCGTAAAATAGCGAACGCACGACACGTCTTGCCACGTGTCGCGTGATGCCGCACTTTGACAAAGGTGCGGGACTCTCGCATGGCGACGTGGGCGTATTCATCGCGTGTCTCCGCCTTCCTCCCCGACCGTATTTTCAGTCACGCCGGAATCGACAAAATGACATCGCCGTTTCTTTGTATTTTTAATGTCTTCCAGATCAGCAACATGAGTATTTCACAACAGAAAAAATCGCTCCTATGATCAAATCCAATCGTGATCATAAGAAGGTTACTTTTTCGAAATCATACAACACAGCCGGCTTTCTTTGCCGGCTGGAATGTGAAATGGGAGTCCGTCGCCACTTGATCTTCTCCGACTGCACACTTAAGGGGCAGTCTTGCTTTCAAAAATACCGTCGAGATGAAATAGCCCGTTCTGGAAATGCAGCGTTTGGCTCCACTCTGGCCGTGTTATTTTGCCTCCATCACCCGGTCGGGGACACACGAAATCCACTTGTGTCCTCGCTTCATCCGTCCTTTTTCAAAAGCCTCTCGTCCTCCGTGGCAAAAATGGCCGTCCGTTGTTGGACTACACACACGCAAGCGACTAAGGCAAGCAGAAAGCGGAGGCTGCCCTGGGCCTCTCCCAGCGCTATTCTGCTACCGCCGGACGACTGGGCCTGAACGGCTTCAAAATGAGGTCAAACGCAACAAATCCGGACCAGCAGGGGTTTCAAACCAGGACTGGGGTTTAAAGTAATCACGGAAAACCCAAACCAGACATGGTAAGGTGCCGTCACCGGTCCGGAACGTTGCGAAAGCTGTGCTCGGCTGCATTGCTGGCTCCTCCTGCGGTCGGTTGTACTCGTCCGTCCGTGAAATGGGTCCGTGTGGAAACGGCGGAACAAAAATTGCGCGACGTCCGACACCGAGCCGCGTTTGTCCATCATCTCCCGGTCACCGGCTGACGGGGGTTGGCCCAGGGGAGTGCTCGGTGGTGGCCGCGGCCACCTTTGGCCACCACGTAGCTCCGCCTGTGGTGTCCGGCGTTTTTATCTCGTGCCCGTGTGTTACCTCCACGTGTGTGTTGCGCTACGGGTGGGTTGTGTTAAGCGTGCCTTGCGTTCGCGGCAGCGCGTGGTGGTGGTGTCGTGGTTTTATTGCGGGTGCGTCGCGTGTATGAGTGCGTTCCAGTGGGACTCTTGGATTTGTTCTGATGATTGTTTGTTGTGACCGACGATGCCTTGCGTCAAGACTGTCGTGATTTCGCTCCGATGGCGGCGGGATTGCGTGTTTCCCGTTGTGCAATCGTGACCCTCATTAAGATGGCGTTCTACTCTTGTTTTGTGTTCTGTTCATTGCGTTACAGTGGCGATTGTGCACACATTTGAGGAGCTATTCCATCATCCCTTTTGTTGCGTTCAAAGTCATTTTCACTTGAGGAGGAAGGTGAATAGTGTATGCGCGCGTCTGCGTGTGTCTCATACCCACGAGAGGTGAACGCGGCTATAGAGGGAATACGCAAGAAAACACACACATTGTCGCTGTGTGTGGCTGATTGGTGCTGAGGTGAGGACGCGGAGATGCGGACACCTACTGATCATTGGCTGGAAATTACTATAGGGGGGGGGGGGGGGGGGGGGGGGGAGAAGGGAGGATGAGGAAGCTGAGGATTTGGGGCGCTGGGGGCTATCATGGATGCTGGAAGGGCAAACGTTGAGAGTGGGAAGAGGTTGATTGACAGGACAGGAAAGGCGATGAATGCAAACTGCAAGTGGATGAGAAAGACATCGCTGAGCTATTATGTTGCTATGGTTACCGGGGCGGTGGGAATCATGACATTCCGATAACAATCATTTGTAAACAGATCAACACCGATAGGCGACGCTCTTTTTTCTATGAATCTCTTCATATTTTCAAATGGTCACTCCTGCGACTTTCCGAGAAAATCACAATGTCCCGTCAACGGTGATAGCATTTTAACACTTAAATATCGCCAAATACTTGCCCGCACTTGGATATTGTGACGTTTTGATGTCATGGTCGCCTATGTCACAGTATTTTTGAATTGAGAATACTTTTAAGCAGTCATTTGCCTCAACGATTTTTTTTTTCGGTTATCACGATACAATGCTACCACCACTACATTTTGATATCATGATATGTGGATACCGCTATATTTGCTCTCATGATTTTGAATGGCACAATGGTTTGATATCATACTATTTTGCTCCAAGATAATTGCATTTTTACATTGTGATTTGATGTCTCCATACAAGCCCAGAAACATGAAAAATGATGGTTGATTGTCAGATTGAAAGTGATGCATTGAATATAATGTATCAGCATTTCATAGTATTATTTACAACACATAGTGAGTGACCCAGTACTATTGTCGAAACATCATGCATATGTTGCTGTGACCTGCAGGTGGAGTCCATGTTCACTCCACCTGGCGGGGCCCCCGCTCCGGGCCAAGCAGGGCCTGCCGGACCATCGCTGCCTTTGTCCACCACTTCCTTTCCACCCGCTGCGGCCCCGCCCATTTGTAACGCCGTGAGGACGCGCTCCGTCGGCACCAACACGCAGGAAGTGGTCCCTCCGTCCATGCCCAACTCGGACGCCGACTTCTTGGGCCCCTGCCAGCCGGGTACCAGCGTCAACCTGGAGGGCATCGTGTGGCACGAGACCCAAGAAGGTGAGGCAACCCGTGGAACATCAGTGCTTGGATACTGTCAATCAATCGATCAAACTTTATTTATATTGCACTCTTCATACATCACACCGTTTGAGCTCACAATACATTTTTTGGCATTATTTCTTGTCACTATAAATTGATATCACAACACATTGATATCATGACCTTTTGATACCACAAGAGCACAAAAGCTTCATCTCATGGTTTGATATCACGATATCTTGATTACTCGATTTCATGATCCTTTGTTATGATGACATTTCATATGGATGTACTTTGATATTTTATATCAATATTTGATATCATGATCCTTTGAGCTGACCACAATTTGATATCATGATACTTATACTCATATTGCAATACTTTGTGTGTGTGTGTGTGTGTGTGTGTGTGTGTGTGTCAGGCGTGTTGGTGGTCAACGTGACGTGGAGGAAGAGAACCTATGTGGGAACACTGTTGGACTGCACCAAACTCGACTGGGCTCCTCCCAGGTGATGATGTCACATGTTTGTCAAAATGAGGTCAATGATTTTTAAAAATGGTCTCCCAATACTTTTGTCCAAACTTCATGATCTGTTCTTTTAATTGCACGGGTCCCTTTTGTTCAGAGTCAATATTTTCTTTCTTTTCAGGTGTCCCTTTATTTTTGTCCACATTTTCTTTACTTCATTTACGCTCCAATACTTTTGGCCAAAATACACTTTTGGCCAAAATACCCCCCCCCCCCCCCCCCCACCGCCTCCTTTTTCACTTCCTGTAGGTGTCCACATCCTATTGTCCAGACATCACTTTCCTTTGGTGTCCCAATACTTTTGTCCAAAGTCCACACTAATTACTGTCACTATAATTGCCTTTGATTTGCGTTGACTGTGAGAAAGGTTAGTGTCTGATCTCAATTGCCACTGGTTGGCTGCAGCCTCCGGTCGGTGGCTGTTGCCATGGCGATGACAGATTCAGTGGTCTGAATTGCTTTGTGGACGTGCGTCACATAAATAGCATTACAACTCCACTTTGGTGATTGACGAGCACAATTAAAGTCGAGCACAATGTCGATGAAAACAAACAACACCGAGATAGGATGACACTCGTCGGCTGAACAACAGTTTCTGCTTCTGTAGGTAGGTCGGAAGGGGAGGAGTTTGTTGGTACAGTAGGTATGTCTGGCAGCTGGTCGTGTGGTCGACAAGTAGGTAGAATGAATGACGGAATCTTGATTTGAACAAAAAAAAAAAACAACAAAAAAGTTGGGAGTTATCTAGTTTATCCACTTTTGGTTTGGTCAGTAGGAAAAGTCGTTGGAGAATGAATGACGGAATCTTGATTTGAACAAAAAAAAGCAACAAAAAAGTTGGGAGTTAACTAGTTTTTCCACTTTTGGTTTGGTCAGTAGGAAAAGCCGTTGGGTCGTGTTGTACTGTAGGTAGCTACTGTAAGCCTGTAATCATCTGGGGAGTATCGAGAGGGTGGGTAGGTAGGAAGGTTAGGGGCATGGGTTGTATTGGTAACAGGTGGTAGTAAGGAAGTTTGGAAGGAAGGTAGATAGATTATGAGGCTGTCTGTCGGTAGTAGGTAAGTATGAAGGGGTTGGATAGGTTGGAGTTTGTAGAGAGGTACAATGTAGGTAGGTAGGAGTTGGGTAGTTATGTAAGTAGGAAGCTACATTTTGGTAGATTGGTAAACTGGTTGGTAGGAGTTGTCTAAATATGTAGCTTGAATTTGAAGAAATGGGTAGGTAGGTAGATATTATATCTAGGTAGTTGTTTGCATATGTCTAAAATAATATGATGATATACCTGTATATGTCCTCCTGTTTCTTCAGGTTCTGCGAGTCTCCGTCCAGTGACCCAGAGATGGCAGGTGGGCGTGGCCGGGGGAAAAGGTTGCGTCTTGCTTTAGCAGAGCGGCCCTGTGGGGATGCGCCACCGCCGGTCAAAGTGCGAGGCCTGCCGCAACACCGTAGCCGGGGCGGCGGCATAGGCATGGCAGCCTCACCAGTGCACAGCAAAGGTCGGCGTGGAAGCCTAAAACTCCTCGCCACCTGCAGAGCTTCGCCGCCGTTTTTCACCACCGAGGAAAGCAAACCTTCCAACCGAGCCTCCGTCCTCCCATCCGGCAAGCGGAAGAACAAACCGCCCGCTGACTTGGACCTCAGTCTCGTTTCCTCGGCGGACATTAAAAACGGGAATGGGAAGAGGATTCGAGCCAAATCCCGCAGCGCCCCGTGTACACCGCAGGGCAAGTCAGACCCCTCTTTCCTGGACCCAGGGGGTGGTTGCACCTCCCCACCTCCACAGATCCTCATTGACTGCCCTCACCCCAACTGCACCAAGCGCTACAAGCACATCAATGGCCTGCGCTACCACCAGACGCATGCCCACCTGGAGGCAGAGGAGCAGAGGAATCCCGACACCGAGGAGCGACTGTCAGAGTGCGAGGACGCCATCTATGACCTTGCGGAGTCCACCAACAATGGCACTGCTGCCAACCCCTCGTCCAAAAAAGCCGCCCCGTTGTACAAGGTGACGACGGTGGGTTCGCCCAAGAACCGGCGGCTTCTCCTCAGCACCAAAACCAGGAGGAGCTCCCTACTGAAGGACGGCCTGATGGACGACCTCAGCAACCTCCCCATCATCTCCAATATGACGGTGGTTCTGGAGAACTGCATGGTACCAGACCGGAGCACCACCGTGGAGATGCCCAAGCTGGAAGCCGAAGGTCTGATCGACAAGAAGATCCTCTCTGATAAGAGCAAAAAAGCCAATGGTAAGGTAGATAAGCTATCCAAGTCGCGGGCCAACCGGCTAATTGCTCCAGCCCCGACGCCACCGAAGCTTGTTGCCATACCCGGTGCGGCGTATCCGATGGACAGCGTCCCCTCACAACAGCCTTCCCCCGTGGCGGCTGTTGGCCTAACGAGCAAGAACTCGTCCTTGAAACCGATCAAGCCCAAGCTCAGCGCAGTCGTGCAACCCAGCCTGGTCAAAGCCACACTGCTGACCTGCAAAGAGACCCGCAAGAAAGAGAAGCGACGACTCAAGGACAAGCACAACCGCGACACAACCGCTCGGACGGCAAACGGTGACACCATTAAGGTGGAAGACGGTGCTTCTAAAACGGCCACCAAGGAGATTCCGGGTAGCCTCCTGAAGGAGCACCTGAGCAAGCAGGATGTGACGAATGGGCACAGTGAGAGCCAGGAAAGCAGAATGGCGAGTATCCGCGCCGAGGCCGACAAGGTCTACACCTTCACAGACAATGCCCCCAGCCCCTCCATAGGAAGTTCATCGCGGCTCGATGCCCCCGGCGGTTGTCTGCTGTTGGGGGACAGCAAGGACAACAGTCCCGCCTATTCCGACATCTCGGATGCGGGGGATGATGGCGTGTCCTCCGAAAATCGTCTGGATGGGCTCAGATCCAAGTCTGGCTCCTCCGTATCGTCTGAAGTCAACTTTAACGGTAACCATAGCAGCGCCAGGAAGACGCCACCCACGGTGCCCGCCCCGCCTTCTACAAAAGAGCCCCTGTCCCCGTACTATCACAGCTTTGAGCCATACTACCTGCCGGGTTGCGTGAAGGCGGACAGGCAGAACATATACCACAAAATTTCCTCTCATGATTCGAAAAGTAAAGATCGAAAGGAGGAGGCTCACGGTGATGTCGACTTTACGGACTGTAAGAAAGGTGACGGGCCGGTTGCACCTTCTCAACTGCAGCTTGCCATGAGTCAGACCCAGACCGCCTTAGCCCAGTCGCTGTATTATGGACAGTACTCACGAGGACTTTACCTGGACCAGAAACTCCTAATGGCCTCTAAATGCTGCGAGCTAAAGCAGCGTGCCGAACGGGGGCCAGTCGGGCGAGATAGTGACGGGGACATCAGACACGCCGGCGGGGCTAAAGGTCCAGAAGGTGCTAAAGCCTGCTGTCCCAAAGCCATCCTGTCCTACTTGGAGGAGAGGGGGGAAAGAGGGCTGGCTTTGAAGGTGGACCAGCACCATGTCTCGACCAAAGACTGTGAGGACATCAAGTCACCTTCCTCCTCCTCCTCCTCCTCCTCCTCCTCCTCCTCTTCTTCATCCTCATCACACCACAACCCCAACACTCAGACAGATCTGGACTCAAACATTTCCTATTCCAGCGTAAGTTTTTCCCTCTGTCTCTAACCGCCGCCCATACTGTTGTGCTTTCACGAGCAATCGTTCATTCGATGTGTGCAGACGCTCACGCCCAAGCTTGAGACTTACTAACTCGGCCGTTGTTTTGTTGCATGTGTCGTGTGATAACAGGTAAATGTCAAAGGGCAACTTTTCCACGTGTTGCCATGCGTTGCCTGTACAGATTCTTAAGCGTCCCTTTGGACGTACCAATGGGCACCCGCCATCATCCTCCTTGCGGCCAAAGCGCCTGACAGGTGGTCTCTGATCACGCAGTGTTTCCTCTATAGATCAATTCGAACAGTTTGTCACGGATAAATTCTAGGGTACTTCCAGATGGCAGACAAATGAGTGGCTACCGCTGACCTAATCTGACGTAAAAACAGCAAAACCTGTGGGGGAGGTGATAAATACAGTGGATAACAAAACTGTTTAAAAGATAACGACAAACAGGTCATCATACCAGAGTACATCACTAGACAGCCTTTACTTGGCCAGACCCTCCTTGATCCTATGTCTGTATTTACACCATGTCCATGTTTGATGAAGTATAAGTTACAGATGCTGTTCCGTCTCGCCTTCCGGCACTTTACCTCGAGAAACGTCTTTTGGCTGAGGCTTCACAGATTCAAACTAGAGCAATAAACCAGAAGGCAAAATCAAATCATCAGCGAAGCCATTTCCCCTGTTTTCCTAAAGGCTCTGCTTTGATCAAATGACATAAAGTACACGGTTTGGGTTTTTTTTTTTGTTGTTTTTTTGTACTTGTGGCGCTGTCGAGGCTATTGCCGCCTGGAATTACAGGTAACATTATCATGAAAAGGTCTATAGTAGTCATTCAGCAGAGGTGGGCAGAAAACCAGAGGTGCCAAAATCAGAACGTGATCCAAAAACATAGATTTCTGTCTGACCTTGATGAAGGTCTTTGGTATTTGGTTCGGCTCCTGGACAAACATGTGGACTGACCTCAAATGACTCCCGCCCACCATTGTTAAAGCAGACTTATAGGCTGGCACCAGCACCAACACTTGTCCCCATCAATTTAGCCCCCAGACGGCTCCCTGTGGCCCCACCGCCTGGCTCACAGCAAATTCTCAGAGCTGCAGAGTCCTCTCGGCGAGGCGGCCGATGAGGGTGACACGGAGAGGTCAAAGGAGTGGGGGAGTACTACCGAGTCAGCCGGGCCCAAAGTGACCTCAGTGGGAGGAGGCATCGCTCGCGATGCTAAAAAAGTCCACGGACCGCTCAACCTGCCGCCCGCCGCTGACCCAGACGACTCCGACGGCCTGGATGGGCTACAGGAGGAACCCATGAGGATCCTGTTGGGGGAGTCTCAAAGTGCACGTGCGGCGGTGTCCCCTCCAATGACCCCCCAGAAGCCCTACATGTACCAGCACTGCTCGTACCCGCCCTACCTGGCTATGTGTGAGAGCGGCGGGAGTTCCTACAGGGGGGCGTCACCCACCCTAGTCCACAACTACCCAGGTAAGGAACAAAACCGGACACGTCTGTCCATTTTCTTTCCGACCCAACTTGACCATTTTTCTGACATCCGGGGTCATGTCAAATGTATAATAAGAGTCAAGACGGTCAGGGTGAAGAGTTTAGTTCCCAGCACTCGTTTCTCCGACCCTGTTCTTGCTCTACTGTGTCAAAGACGCCAAGATCAACTTAGGGGTTGGAGTTGACCTGGCTTCGAAGGTAGTATAAGAGGTGCGATGGAGTCAATACGTCATCTGTGTGAAAGGGAATTTTGGAAGTTCGGGACTGGGACCAGGATTGCGGTTTAAAGTTGTAACACCTGACACTTAATTCTGAGGTCGCTGATTCATCTGAAAGACACCGACACCAAATTGGGGATGGTCGACTCTTGATTTTCCCGGCTTCCGAAGTGGTATCTCTGGTGTAACAGAGGCAGAAATGTTAACTGTGAGAAATGGAAAAGCTAGGCTGTGTCACGTTAAACACACAACACTTCCCTTTTCCCACCCTGTGGTGGCAGTCCTGTGTGAAAGGCATGATCCATTTTGGGTGGATGTGTACTGAACCTTGAAATGTGTCCCCGAAGGCTTCCACTACCCTTTGTACGGCAAGACGGCGGGCCGGGAGGAGTCCGAGGTAAGATGCTTGCTTTTTTTTTTTTTTTTTTTTTTTGGACACGGTCGTGGCAGAACTTGCTGTTGAAAATTGAGAGAATATAAATGAGTGTATGTGTGTGTGTGCGCGTGTGCGCCTAGCCTAATGAAAAAGGTTCCCACGAGGCGGAGCGCGAAGTGGACCAAAGCGACCGAGGCCACACGACGTTGGGCCGACACCTGCACACGCACCATCACACACACCTGGGACTCGCGTACAACCTGGTGGCGGGACAGTACGACATCTACCCGGGTAGGCGCAGCACAACACAACGAAATACACGTCAATACACAACATTCAACAAGGAAATACACGGCACACTAGGCGGGGTTGCCACCTTGCAGATCTGACTGAGCTACAGAAAAGGTTCTCCGGCAAACTTGACATTTTGCCACTGCCGCTCCCAAGCCAAGGGTTTGCGCAGAGCTGAGGAGAACACACCACACGTTTCCGTATTTTACGGGACGGGTGGCAACCTTTCAGCACACAACAAGAGATGAAAACACAACACACAACACTAAAAAAGAAGTGACACAACCCACAATGCAACACACACAAAATATTACACCTAGGATCGTCGCTAGGCTAACCGTCATGTTGCATATCATTAGCGTTGTCAACGCGCTGACAACGGCATTGAAATATTTGACGGATCATACTGTTTACATAGGTGGGAAATGGAAAGTGATATTATTTTGTGCTGTGCTGTGATCGGTTGATCTCCGTTTCGTGGGCGGAGCTGAGCAATTTTACAGTAAGATTTACTTGGTGCGATTTTGTGTTGAAGGTTTAAGCTCCAGGTCGCTGGTGCCTGGTCCACAGGTGGCAGGACGAACTGCTGCTGGTACGTTTCGCACACGCACACCTTCATCAATTGATCATTATTTACCAATAATCATTCGCTCTTAGCTCTGGCTAATGATGATTTCATAACCCTAACCCTAACCGTAATTGCTCCACGGTTGTTAGCATGTTGAACAAAATGCTGATGTACGCAGTGTTCTATAAATCATTCGTTGACCAAAATGCTCAATGTGCTACCAAGGAAATCCTCATAGCTCCGATGGTCTAATAAACTGGGGATTGTGAGTTCATCTTCTTCACATTAATAAAGCTGGTTCTTATGGCTATTGTGATATATCAAAGCTGGTTTCAGTAACCCGCCTATGTTGTTTCCTCTTTTGTCAATCAATGTGCGAGTGAGAGCTCGTGTACATTAAAAAAAACAAACTATGTTGAGTGTATGCGCAAGTAATATATCTGTTGGATTATATAACATATCCTTGTCATGTTTCCGCAGAGAGCGAAATGAAGAAGTAGTGACGTGGCAGAAGGAGAAAAAAAAAACAAAATGGGTGGAAAAAAAACCAAACAAGTATCATTTCTTACTAGCGCCACCTACAGTACGGACGTTGTTTCGTACCACACCGGAAGTGGACTTTGGAGAAGGACAAGTGTATAGCGGTGTTTGTAAACGCACATTATTGTTCTGACTGAATGTACTGATGATGAAGATGATGACAATTATGCTCCGTTTGTTCGCTAACCGCTAACTCTACGTGTTGATTATATCGTCCTACTGTATGTGAGCATAGCCCTTCTCCTTCACGCCGCTGTACATAGCGTTTCATAATCATGCGCTCATTAGCATGCGCTCACCGCCACTGGATGTGCGGGAGGACGGGGCGGGGCTTAGAGGGGATGCTGCGTTCAACAAAAGTGGGAATACTGATTTCCTATTACGAAAAGTGAACTCCAGTAATTGAGCGAGGTGACGTTATGTAACGTTATAAAACAATACCGACAGTATTTTGAAAAAAAAAACTATCAAAACAATGTATTTGAATTTACCTGACAAATTGAGGTCCTCACACCTCGGTGAGTGGAATATTAACAACTTTTATGTACCATTAGAGGGCGCCCAAGCACCATGAGTGGAACTCGTACCACACTTTTCGAATCACTGTCCAAATCGAGGCTCCCTCAGCAGCCCTTTAATGTCCCATTCGATGTCGTCAATCTGCAGAATACAATGGAATAGAATAAACCTTCACGAGTCCCGCAAGTTTGTGGATAGATTTACGCCTAGTTAGCGCCTAAAATGTCAAATATCAATCAGAGGCGCACAGATGTCAAACCAAAGTAGTTTTATGAGTTTGTTTTAGGTGAGGCCTCACCATTGCACTTACAACAGTGCAGTACCACGAATAAAGCAGTTCACTGGTACGGATTGCGTGAAGCGTGACATTTCCGACTTCTCAGCAGCCCGTGAACGCAGCATTAGATAGCGTCAGCATACAAGAATAGAGTAAAATAAGCTTTTATAAGTAACTTCGGTGGGTTTATGTTTCCTAGTCTGATGCCCACAAACAAGGGATCTATTTTTTCCAGAGCGACATATTCCACCGTAGTTTCAGCAAAGCTCCTGACGCCCATGGTGAGCACGAGGTCACAGGAGTGTGCCCACGATGAGCGTGCTCGGGAAGGTCCAACAAATGATCGACAATTTGTCGGTCATGCATTCTGATTGGTTGTTTTTCTTCGGCCGGCGTGGTTTCTTGCCAATCAAATTAGAGCGAAGTGAAATGTTCGGCCTCAGGACTGTATTTATAACAACGCATCTCGAGCAAAAGCGGCACACCTGAACTGGGACTCCCACAATCTTTTGCTGTTGCCCTGACCCTGTCCCCCCGCCCTTCCCCCCCAACCCTAATGTGCGCCCCCTCCTCCTCCAGTGAAATACCTGAGCCTGTGATGCTGGATTTCAAGTGGCCAATAGTGATATGAAAAATAAGATGTGGTGCTGCTCTTCGACTTGAGCCCCCCCCCCGACCCCCTCCCTTCACAGCCATACTCTCACGTCAACGATAATCTTTAAAAAGTAGCAAAATGTAATGAATCCAACTTGAAATGATCATGTCATGTGTTATGATGTTACGTGTCCTCCAGCAACAGCTCTGCCTCACTCCATGCAAACGACATACGTACAAACTACGTCGTAATAATACATAACGGTACTTACATACTACTTGAACATGGTGATACGATGTCTGTTTACAAAATGCTACCACGGGGCACTGTTGTCGTCGTCATCCAGTGGCCGTGGTGTATCCGATGAATATAAATTCATATATTACAATTAATATTGCTCTGAAATCAACATAGAACCTGCTGTTGCTTTTTTTATACTGTATATGCCTTAATTCATATGTTTGGCAATCACGATTAAAGGATGTTTATGTGTGTGTGTGTGTGTGTGTGTGTGTGTGTGTGTGTATATATACAGTATGAAGAGAGAGAGCGAGAGAGGAGTGTGTGTTTTTTTTTCATTTTTCTACTCAAAGCAACTGAATCAAATTTGCAGATTTTTGCTTGCATCTCATCTAACTACAATAGTTTTTGTCGTAATTGTTTCCCATGTTTAATTTTAGGATACTGCAATTGGCTGGCACCCAGTTCAGGGTGTCCCCCACCTGCTACCTGAAAACAGCTGGAATAGGCTCCAGCACACCCGCGACACTTGTGAGGAGAAACGGATCACAAGATGGATGGATGGATGGATGGATGGATGAATATTCGGATAATTCTATTTCAATTATTTGTATTAGGCTGATGGGAAATGAAAGATTACAATATGTTAAAAAGTTTTTACAAATCCAATACATACTGTAGAATGTAAAATATCAACCAAATGAAAATGTCGTAGATGGAAAAAAATACTTCAGTAACATTCATTCAGTCATAATCCGAGCCGCTTTTTCCTCACGAGGGATGCGGGCATGCTGGAGCCTCTCCCGGGTGTCTTCAGGCAGTAGGTGCAGGACACACTCAACTGGTTGACGGGCAATCGCAAGGCACACATAGATAAGCAACCATTCACACTCACAGTCCCACCTCTGGCCAATTTAGAGCGTTCAACCTACCGTGCTTGTTTTTGGAAAGTGGGACAAAACCGGAGTACCCAAAGGTAACCCACGTCGGCACAGGGAGATCATGCCAACGCCACACCGGAAGGCCGGACGCTGGAATCGAACCTTGGACCTCCACACTGTGAGGCGGGCGTGCTAACCGGTCGAGTCTCGTGTCGCCTACAGTAACTTTTTTTTCTATTATGTTTGTTATATATTTGTATTTATTGTTATTATTATTAACATTATTCAATCATGATTTTCAAACTTATAATTAAGGGTTGAAGTTGTGTAGGTGCAAGCAATTACTTGAGAGGGAAGAAATATCATCTCTGCTGTATGTCACACATACAACACATTTGACAAAGTTGTATTCAATTCAATTCAATTCAATTAAAAGAGACAAAAATAGCGTAAAATATTTCAAGAAATAAATAGCTGTAAAAGACCAACTTTGTTAAATGCCTGACACGTGTATCCATCGTAATATTATGTCTGCAGTTCCAACGCCGACCAGTTGAGGTCAACCTAACCCCGAGAGGCTCCACCTTTAACTTCCGTTTCCAAAACCAAAAGGAGTGGCGCCAAAGCTTGACAACAAAGCGGCTTTTCCCTTTTTGCAACGGGCGATCCCAAGAAGTTTTATTTTCTTCACAAATCTCATCCTCAACGAGTTGTGCCCCCCCCCTCCCCCGTTTTTTTACACTCCCCTCGACAAATGCGAAATTTATAACGACAAAGTCTCGCGAGTGCTCCCAATCTTTCCGCCGGTCCAGATGTCAACATGGCTCGGAAGAGCGAGCAACTTCTCATCGTGTTGTCCATCCTGGAAGGTGAGCGTCAAGTTGTCAGCGCCACTCCAACACTAACGCAACCAAAGTCACATTTGGAACCTGTTAAATCACTCTTATCTTCTTCTTTTCTTCGTTTTTTTTATTAGTCGTGCGTCCTTAATCGCGCGTCGCTTTAGCAAGCTAACGCGCACAGCTAATAACTTGTTTCGAATGTTAAAACTATCATCCTAAAAACAAAAAACAAACAAAAAAAAACACAACGGACGGCAATTTATGAATATCGGCAGCGAAACAGGACAATAAAGTGACAGTATTTATTTTTTAAATTTTCACCAAGACCACTGTCACCAGAATGAAATGGAAAAAAAAGGAACACAACGGTCTTTAAATCGTCAATATGTTAAGACTTAAGAGAGTTATGCCATTTTCAATAAATGACATGAATTCGTTAATATTCAATTAGTTAGACGCAATTGAGTTGACATACTCCTTCTCCCGGTGGACGGCTCTCCTGCGTCCCCCCCCAATTTCAGGTTGGGCAACACACATTTGGGCAATGTGCTCTGTCATGGTCTTCGGCACGGTAAAAATTGGATGTAACTTGGTCTGTATGCTGCAAACAGCCTGTTGGTGTCAAATTCAACAAGAAGGTCAACACATTGCGGCGCGGTGTTACAAAGTTGTCCGTGGCCGTAATTTTGACGTTGCGGACAGGTCGCGACTTCCCCAAGTGCCCTCGGCTCAGCCTGGAGGTTCAGGCGAGCTTCGACGGCGAGCAGCTCACCACCGACCCTGTGGAGCACCTGGACCAGCCGCGCTTCAGTACCGAGCTGGCCTGGGAGCTGGACCGCAAGATGCTGCACCAGCACAGGTGTGTGTTGGTGGCATGATTTGGTCTTGGGGGGATAATGGACTTGGTCGGAGCTCGAGATTGGCGAGGAACAGGGTCGAGAATGAAATGGAGTCAGACCCCAGATGAAAAAGGCCTTATCTGAAACCGACAGTATATTGTGATCGAGACCATGAAGGTCTGACGCATTAACGCCGTGACTAATCCCGTGAGCGTGTGCAGACTGCAGAGGACCCCCATCAAGATCCAGTGCTTCGCTGTGGACTCCAGCAGCGACAGCAGGGACAACGTGGGCTACATCGTGCTGGACCTCAGATCCGTTCAGGAAGTCCCGCAGGTCTGTCAATCGCCGTGGCGACCCGTCGCCACGCCGCCCCTTTAACGTCGGTTTCGCCACGTGCGTCGTCAGAACCCTCGCTGGCACACGCTGCTGAGCAGCAAGTACACCAAGAAGAAGCCGTCGCTGCTCCTCAGCATGGTGCTGGAGAACGACGGCAAGGCCACGCTGCCGCCCCCGCCGCCGACCGCTCCCCGAGCGCCCCGAGAAAAGAAGGCTGTAAAAGGTGCTACTTCCTGTTTGTTGTCTTTTGTTACTGTGCTCCTCCTTGAAGCCACGTCCCTCTTTTCTGTCTTGAAACGTCATTGCGCATCATCTGTCCGCTTTTGCGTGTGTCTCCACTTGAAAAGGATGATGAAGGCGTTGTTTTGGCGCCATCGTGTGGCATCTTGGTGCCAAGGAACTGTGTTGAAGTGTTGAGGAGCTCCATTGAATCAACAGTAATTGTTTGCGGCACCTCCTTTGGGGAGGGGGAGGTCGATTGAAATTAGGAGCGCAACGAAGGATTGTGTTCATCATCGATTCATTTGTTTTGGTTTCGAATTACTTTTGCTCCCCCGTCTATGGCATTTTGCGCTGTGCATTAGCATTTAAGCTACACAAACTTTGATGAGATAAAATTAGTTGAAATCGACAATCTGCAAACCGAGAGTGGCATGAAACAACTTGAAGCACTTGCTTGAATCCAAACCTGAGGTGCAACTCGGAAGTTTTAGGACGGCCGCAGGGATGAACGCGTAAATGGACTTTTCTCGGGTCATATATCGGGCCAAACCAAGAAAGTTTTTGGCGCAGCCATGAAGGGAAGCGTTTTAGTTCAAGGAACTGCAAGCGGTAAAATGCTTTTGTCGTCCCGTGTCACGTACGCGACTCCCCAGCGCCTGACTCCGGCCGCCCCCCCGCCCCGCAGCCGCTCCCGGACAAGCTGGAGGCGGTCCTGGTGCCTGAGCGGGGTTACCATCAGGTGGGACCCGACGACGTCGCCAGCGATATGTTTGTGCTGTCCGTCACCGTGGCGTTTGCCGCTAAGTTGGAACAGGTGAGAAGAATCCCACGCTTGCGGCCGGCTACTTCCTGGCGTGTGTCGTGAGTGCGGTGACCTCAGAACGGATGTGCGCACGCGGGCCCGTTTGAACTTTGCCGCGCTTGTCCGTTTGGGTCGCCCGTGTCGGCAGTTAATCCCCAGCACGCTCGAGCTGTCGTCAGAGGACGCCGGCTTCTTCTTCTTCTACACGCTGCTGGGCAACGACATCACCAGCGAGCCCTTCCGGAACGTCCTGGCGCCGGACTTCCAGCCCGAGCGCGCCTCGTTGCGCATCCGCAGCAGCGCCGGCGCCGTGCGCGCCTTCCTGTCTCAGCAGCCCCCCTTGCAGATCCACCTGTGCTGCGGCACGCGCTCGCTGGGCAGCGCCGACGTGCCGCTGGCCGCGCTGGCCGGGCTCCCCGTGTCGGGCCGTCGCCGACGGCCGCCGACTCGCAGTCCAACGTCAGCGTGGCCGTGACGCTGCGCCGCGAGGACGTCGCGCCGCAGCTCCAGGTGAACGACGCTCGCGGACGGTAAACCGAGGTTTTATCAAGTCAAGGAAGCCGACGCTGTTCGGGAGATAGACAGCGGTGCCTTTCGATACGAATGACCTGACTGCTCGATTCTTCTTTTTTTTTTGGATAATAATCCTGCTCCCAGCTGGAAGGAGCAGCACGATTTTCACTGAATTGAAGCAAAAAAACGTGGCGAACTAAAATACATTTCTTGACATTCCATTTCATCGTTTTTGGGGTGGTGTAAGTTTGCACAATGCTCCTTTTCTTATTCCAAACATGTTTCCATCCATTTCAGTGTATGAAGACTTTTGTTGTCTTTCTGCATCCAGAATTTGCCCCTCCAGGAAGGATGTAAGACAAACTCGTTCACGGTCGTCGTGCCCTCCGCCAAGGACCAAATGGCCAGTTCGACTCCGATCCGAAACCCTCCTGACATGATGCCGTCGCAGAACGGGCAAGGTCGGTCCCGGTCGATCCGCCGACCTCTCTGCGCTGCGACGCTCTGACCCGAGTGTGTCCGGCAGACGCGGAGCCGCTCGCTCCGAGTCAGGCCCGGGGCGACGGCGCCGCTTCCTCCGCCCTCGTCTGCGCCCCCAAAGCGTCCATCCCGCCGCGCGCGCATCGCTTCTGTTTCTCTCTGGATCTCTGCGGCCTCAGACAGACCGGCCTCACGCGCGCCGTGGCCGCGACCGTCAGGTGGGCACGACAGCGCACGCTTCGCGGTTGTTTCCCCTCGGATCAAGAAATACACGTTTGCGGAATTGTCGCCGGTCTCGTATGTCCCGGCCAGGTACTCGTACGAGTTCTTCGGCAGCGCGGCGCCCGTGATGACCGGCCGCCCGGTGGAGCTGCGCAGGGACGCCGACGTGTCTCTGCCGCACTCGTACTGCGCCTTCGACTTTGCCGTCTTGCCGCAGC